ACTAGGGCGGTAAATGAGCCGAGTCGAGCTCTACTCGAGTTTGGCTCATCAACCAGCTCACGAGATAGGCTCTAGCTTAGGTATAATTTCATTTAGTTCATAAATTTTATTTTTTTCATATGAAGTTATTTAATAATAATTAGTATTTAAACAACCTATTACACATAATTTCATTTTAAAAATATAAAATGAGACATGTCTTTATAGTCTTAAACAATTTATATGCTCATATATGTAATCCAACAAATGTATGAAAGATCAACAAGCCAACTGATAAGTTATTAATCGATTCGTCCTTAAGTTTCTAGTAGAGCAGGCTCGCTAACCATACTATCGAGCTAGTTCATAACTCACAACGAGCTAACTCATGACCTGGCTCAACAAACCACCGAGTCGAGCTGGCTCGTGAGCCTTACCAGTTGAATAAGGCGCAACTTGAGCTCGACTCATTAGTAAGCGAGCTGAGTCTCGAACGAACTTTCTTCGAGCCGAACGTCGAGTCGCTCGTGAGCAGCTTAGCTCATTTGTAGCCCTATCCATGACCGTGTCACGAGATGAGCCATGGAAGCGAGGAAATAGTTCCACCGAGGATTACATAGGCTATGGCGGGGATGAAAAGCACATGGTATGGTTACAAGTCAAGAGGCTATGCAATAAAAAGCATATTTCAAAGAAAGATGAAAATATTCTACGCTTGGGAGGTCCATGCGCCTAACGAGAAGGATCATAGACACGAAGCAAGAAGCATTAGACACGATTGAAAAATACTAAATATGAGAAGGCCATGTCGCCTCATGACCAAGACCGAACAACCCAAAATATCTAAGTATGGGAAGGACATGCCCCCTCACGAGAGGGGTCATGTGCCTGATTGAGAGGTCCCTGCCGCCTCACGAGAGAGGCCACGAGCAAGAGTGAGAAGGGCGTGGTGTGGAGCATTATATCACTAGTCATGCGTCTAAGTCACAAGATGTCATTGACCGTGACACAAGAGGGCCATGAACATGAGTAAGAAGTCCATGGTCTCGAGGCAAGAGGACCATGACCCCCTTTGCGAGACACCACATGCTTATCAAAAGACTAGTATGACACGAGATTCGGAACAAGGCCATGAGAGTCAAACTACACTCCAAGACCCATGACGGTTCCAAAAGAGGCACTTAGGCGGTTGAAAGAGTAACCACCACTTCGAGGTAGTAGGGAACGATTCTTTTTGGGAGTTATCCAATAGACAATTTTTCTACGACTGTTAACTCCCTGTGGCTACTAATAGGAGGAAGGGTCGACAGAGACAAGGGTTCTCAAAACCAACACTTTGACACACATGTTAAGTTTATCTTTTACCTTTTTCTTTCTATCATGTAGCCAGAGACGTAGTCTTTAGTTTGAAGTTCTTACTGAATCTACATAGGAGTAGAGTAATTTAACTTAGTTTTCATCCCCATAAACAATCAATCAAACACCCTCGTTTGAACTTTGTTTAAAGAGTTGTGAGCCGTGTCTTAGTAATCGTTGTCCAAATAAGTCAAAAGTGCAATTAATCTCAATCTTAATTTAACTTAGTTGTCCAAAAGTTCAACCATTGATGTTTCTACAGTATAATGCTTCTTTAATAATCGATGCTTATGATTCTGTTGTATGCTACTATATGCATTGTGTTTAATATTTGGTAGATTGATAATAAATTACTCTGCAGTGATACCCCATTGATGCTACACGATTATAGAGAGACTGATCAACCATCTATACTTCGAGTAGTATCAATGCTTGATTGTTAGATCGTCGATGCTATAGACTAAGATTATGGTTCGTAGAAGTCCACAATTAGATGTATGCTATTCTAACTTCCTTGTTCTTCATTGATTAATTAATGGTATGAAGCAAAAGTACACATTAGCTAGTTAAATCTATATCGCAAGAGGCGCATGCATTGATAGAGAGTGACATTAGAGGAAGGTACAAGGTGTTACAGTAGATGAACCATCAATGCATGTTATGAATGAGCCCTAGTATGCATGATAGTACTCGAGTTTGCTTCCTTCTACAATAACGTATCTTTACTTTATGCATTTATAAATCGAAAACCTCTAAACAACTTTACTCTTCTTGCTTTGCGTGTTTGTTAAATGAGAACCCCTAATGTCTTTCTGATTTTCGTATATGTTATAGATGGTTAGTGTGAGTAGTTGTGCATTAGAAGACCTCGTGGAATATAACCCTAGAGCCTCCTAGGATTTTATCACTAGATTACACATCAAGTTTTTGGTGCCGTTTCGGGGATTTCTAATCATATATATATATAAATATCTAACCATCTTGTGCCTTTCTTGAGTTTCAATTTTTTTTGGGCAGATTTTCGCATGAGTCCAGTAAGTACTAGAAGAAAAACCAAAACCTAAAGTTCGTGCAGGAGATAAAAAACACTTACATTAGAAGTACAATTAGAGTAATACATTAAGCTATATAACACGATTACAAACAACTCATTACTAGGTTCTAACATCAACAATAGGAGTCAACAAACACTACCACCTACAGAAGTACCACACACTACTCACATGCTCCTAACTAACAACCACAGAAGTACCACACACTACTCACAACCTTCTAACTAATCACTAGTTGACTCATCAATTTGAGAACTTCGTTTTCGATCTAGCATTTCTACATCCGCAACAAGGTTGGATTCCATGCTTGCAAAATTGTTCGACTGTTTACTTCACCCTCGAGTTGGTTAACTAGTCTACGATTCTCGTCCTTCAGTTCGACAACTTGATTATGTAACTCGATTATCCTTTTCAGAAAACCTGCTCCCCGGTCTCTCATGGTACGCACATCACACCACTCGAAAAAGCCATAACAGCTAAGACCCTTAATAGAAACCATGAGCTACAACATTAGAAACACTATAACTTCCATTGAAGTATAATTGTGCTAACTAGAGATAACAAATAAGTTTGAAAGCATTAAGATTTGGGGCCAAAATTGTCGATTTGAATTATGGGAAGTACGGGAAGTTCGCATTACGCCTTCTAACCGACATTTGCAGAAAACCACTCCTTTCATACCACCCAAATTATCTTGCACTGTTTCTAATCTCGAGGAAGGGGGGGGGGGGGAATGGGAGAAAAGATGACGAGAGTAGTGGGCTTCTAATTGAGCAGAAGATGATCGCCAGTATTGTGAAACGAGAAGTGGATTTTCGAAAAACAGGGGAAAAGACGGAGAGTATTTTACGTTGAAATCGTGATTTACTCATGGTTGAACTTTGTTTAAAGAGTTGTGAGCCGTGTCTTAGTAATCATTGTCAAAATAAGTCAAAAGTGCAATCTCAATTCAACACTTTTGTTTTTTTTTTTTCTGAAAAACACTTTTGATAGGAAATGTTTCCTGATGGAACCAGGATATGATTTTTCAATCCTTGATTTTGGGATGCAAGATGAGTTATCGGAAATCCATTTGTTATTCAGGATCTTGATTTTCCTAGACACATTGAAATGGCATTTCCAACTCGTGTCTCTAAATTTCTTCATATAGCCGCCAACGTCCATCACTAAACAAGCTGCTTGCCTGCTTCAACAGATTCCCTCATAACTCAGTCCCACTTAAACCGCCAGAGTATGCTCAAAACCCTCAACAAGTTCAGTCATCAACAATTCAACATAGTAACCCGAGCTATACCCATTTACATTCGTCACAATCAGCAGCTCATCGAGATACAGAAGGCAAACAAGAACACAATTCCTCTGTGGTTTTCTCATACTCTGTACTCTACTACAATGGGGGATCAAAATCTACCCGGGACAGAGGAGAGGAACTGAATGGAAGCGAAGACTCACTGAGAAGCTGCACCCTCTGCCGAAACTGAACATCCTTCATCTTCAGCAACACGGGCAGAGGGAAGCAAACCCCTTTCTCCACGCAGCACTGGTGCCTCGGCTTGATCCTGTTCTCCAAGCTGAAGGAGAAATACTGGGGGAATTCCTTCAGCTCCTTCAACTCCCTACCCATTTCCACCACGAAGTAATTCAGCTTCGGCTCGATGTTGTCCCTCACGCTGTAATTGAACAGCTGGGGAAACCTCCTGAACATCGCCGCCGCCTCCCTGCGCGAGAACCCGATCTCCTCGAAGTACTGGATTCGAGGGATCAGCTTCTCCTCAACGCTGCAGGACAGCAAGTAGGTGTGCCTGTGCGCCGCCGTTATCCCGATGCTCTGGAGGAAGTACAGGCTGGGGCGGAGCCGGTGCTTGACGCTGGAGACGAGGAGCCTGGGCCGGCGGTGGACGACCCGCCGGATGTCCGAACCCTGGACGCCGGCCTCGCGGAGGAGGAAGGTGAAGACGGGGATGACGGAGGAGGCGCTGGCAGCGAGGAATTCCGGGCACATGGAGACTATGCGGCGGAAGTCCTGTGCGGTGAAGTCCATTGATGTGAGGAAGTCGATGACGGATTTGATTTCCGGCAGGGAGGCGGAGAGGAGAATGGGGCGGTGGTCCCTGACGAGGGAGAATACGTCGAGGCCGATTGAGTCCAGGTAGTACATTTTCTCCTGGAAATCGGACGACGGAGGCGGAGGCCTGGGCGGCGATGGGTTGGGGGTTACTCGAATTGCTGCTGCGGAGGCGGGCTTGGAAGGCACGGAAACGGCGGTGATAGTTTTGGAGGAGAGAATGGGGAAGTGGAGGCGAGTGCTAGGGCGAGAGATTAAAGGGGAATCATGATTCTGGGAAGGGAAATTGATGGGTTTAAGGCAGGGGAGCGAGGATTTACCATTGGTGAGGAGATTGAGCGTTTCCACCATTTTCTTTTTCTTTTCTCCGGCTACTTCATCGGAAGAGACGAGTGGTGGCGCAGGCGTTTTCGTCTGGTTCCGGCGAGGGAGAAGAAGAAGGGAGCAAGATTGTGGAGAAGGATAAGGGCTATCTGGAGAAATCTTAGCAGCTAAAGGCTGTAGCTCCAGTAAGTAAAAATTGGTTCCGAGAATGATGAGCCGAAATTTGGGCTGGGCTGGGCTGGGCTAGTTGTTTAAGCCAGTCGTTGCTCAGACTACAAGTTCGGCCCAAAATTTGGACCTAGCTCAGATACAAGGAGGACGCTCTAGGTTTATGTTTAAAACCACTGCGATAAAAACCCTAGGCATCTCTTTTCTCATCTCCTTCAGGCCGCCCTACAACCCATTGGAGCTCCAGAAATCCTCTGCAGTCTTTTATCAGAGGTAAGCGAGAATCTCCTCTCGGTCCAATATTTCTTGCGCCAGCTTAATCTTCTTCCTTTCGCCTTTCCATTGTCTAGCTGCTGCAGAATTTTCGTAAGGTCGCCGATTCCACTTGTTCGTCTTCGTCTTCTAGCATGCTTAGGGATTTTAATCATGTGGATCTAGACTATGCGTGGTGAACGCAATAACTTTGTTTTGGTTAGCTAGATCATATTTTTGTTGTTTGAACAACATGTTCTGCTTCACTGATTGGCCCCCATAGTCGCCTATTTTGAGTTATGGTGTTTGATATTCTAGATTGCGTTTGTTTCTTGCTTTCTGGCGAGGTAGAGTAGAGATGGCCGAAGAAGCTAAGGTAGCCGCTATTGTTCCCGAGTCTGTTTTGAAGAAGAGGAAGAGAAATGACGAGTGGGCTTTGGCAAAGACCCAGGCTGCAGTGGCACAGAAGAAGAAGAGTGCCGAGAACAGAAAGATCATCTTCAAGAGGGCCGAACAATACTCCAAGGAGTACAAGGACGGGGTTTGCATCTCTAACCTCTGCTGTGTTTGGTTGTCCAATTTGGTTTAGAAAATATTTGTTCGCATTGTTGGTAGAGTTACTGGTTGTGGCAATTTGACCCTCTCGCTCTGATGCAGGAGAGGGAGTTGATCAGGTTGAAGAGAGAGGCCAAACTCAAGGGTGGTTTCTATGTCAGCCCAGAGGCCAAGCTGTTGTTCATTGTCCGCATTCGTGGGTAAGCCTCTTCTATTTTAGGTTTATTACCCTGTTTTGATACATGTTTTCCGTAAAGTGGCTGTTTCTGAAATTTGGAATCTCACTGTCTGTTGTTAGTATTAATGCCATGGACCCAAAGACTAGAAAGATCTTGCAGCTGTTCCGTCTTAGACAGGTAATTTCTTACTTCATATGATGTTCATTCCTAGTCTTTACTATCTTAATGTGTGTCTGAACCCTAATTCTCTTGTGTAGATCTTCAATGGTGTGTTCCTCAAGGTCAACAAGGCTACAGTCAACATGCTACGGAGAGTGGAGCCATATGTGACTTATGGGTATGGGTTCTTATTGTCTTTTGCACTAAACCATGTTTTCCAAGATCCTATCTATGCCGAGTTTCATGTATGGGGTTGTCTCCTTGTGAATCTGACTTTATTGTTATGTATATCAGGTACCCTAATCTTAAATCCGTCAAGGAGTTGATATACAAGAGGGGTTTTGGCAAGCTTGACAAGCAGAGAATTCCTTTGACCGACAATGCCATTGTTGAGCAGGTATTTAACCATTGCGAGCCTTCTGCTGTAACTTTCTAGTTTGTATTGTTGCTACTTAGTTTACAAGCACAATTCTCAATGGTTTGTTTTTAAATGTTTGGCAGGGTCTCGGAAAGTTCGGCATCATCTGTGTTGAAGATCTCATTCACGAGATCATGACTGTTGGCCCTCATTTCAAGGAGGCCAACAACTTCCTATGGCCATTCAAGCTGAGCGCGCCATTGGGTGGCCTGAAGAAGAAGAGGAACCACTATGTGGAAGGTGGTGATGCTGGAAACCGTGAGGATTATATCAATGAGCTCATCAGGAGGATGAACTAGACGTTTCCTTTTTCTTTTTTTCAAGCTTTAGAGGCTGCACAACTTTTGCTACTGGGATACTATGTTATCAGGCATTTTTGGATGGTTGGGAATTTAGTCTCTATATCTAGCCGTGCTTGCATGTTGGTGTTTTCTGGTCGTGTTCTGAACATCTATATTTGTAGTTGCAAGAGGAATGTTTTGTGGAAGTTTTGGTTGAATTAAATCACCGTTCTTGGGTATCATATCAGCTCTTCTGTTCAAGCTTTGCTTGTTTGCTTTTGAAATGTGGAAGGCTGATCTGGGGTTCGGATCTGCCCGCGCTCAACTGCCTCCTCTCTTTGTCGAGGAGCAAAAAGTCTCCGAGTCGCGTCCTTTAACAAAGAACAATATGAAGTAGGAGAATAGCAGGCTCTGTTTCCTTGATCCGAGTTTCAGCCTTTCAGGTCGATGGATTATGAGTCTTTTCAGACCAAGATCAACTTCCGTTGCGGATTCTGCAGGTGAGCTATTGCCAACAAATCCAATTTGAGCAAATCCCGTTTTGGCATCAAATCCAGTTTTCTGATTTCCTAGCAGCTTAGGTATCTTCCCGCTGTAACTTTCCCGCAATTCCTTAGTTATGTTCGTGTATATTTAGGAGACCTCATCTGTATCTTCATGGTGTAGCAGAGTATTAGCTTGCTTTGTTTTGTTAGTTAAGTGAGATAACGGGGTTGGGTTAGTGGTGATTACATCGTGAGTACTGTAATTGAATATTAGTAGTAGTAAGAAGCTTTACCAATGGGTTGAAACTTGAAAGGTTCTGAATTTGATTTTGTTTTTCACGGCATTAGAAGATGTCGTGCTTAGCTCAAAGCTAGCTGTTCATAGGAGTTGCGTTGTGGTTTAACTGATTCTCCTTATTTCATGATTGCAGAACATTTTGGCTGCTTAAATAACAATCTTCTCCGTCATTGATGCCTTTAGTTTGTTTCCATGGAGGAATCACTGTGAAATGATCGTATTTGGGGGTCATGAATCTTATCAAAGTTAGAATTAGAGACCAGACCCGTTTGAGTGTTCTTTCCTGGTTGTGGGTTTAGCTTCCTTAGAACCGCAGAGTTCTTCCAATTTTGAGTCTGTAAGTGCTTAATTTTTTTTTTTTTTTTGCAAAAGATAATCATATATTGATAGAAAAAAAGATCATTACACCATCTGCCTCAACCAGGCAACAAAATCAAAAGAACGACTCGCTATCGGGTACAAAGAAAGGGCCTTCCTAGCCACCAAATGGGCTACCCTATTACTACGCCGACCAACGAACCGAACACTGAAACCTGCACTCTCTTCCAAATAAAGCAAGACCTCACGAAAAATAGAGCCCGCCAAACCATCCCTCCCCTGAGCCAAGAGTAGCCTATCAACCACAACCTTCGCATCTCCCTCAAAGCGCACCTCGCTACAGCCCAACCAGCGACACCAAAGGATAGCCTCCCGGAGAGCTAAAAGCTCAACCAGCATTGGAGCATCAATATCCGGGAAATGCACCCCCCTTGCAGCAATAACCACCCCATCCAAGCCTAACAACACCATTCCGCCAGCCGAATGAGACCCTAGCCGGACCGCTCCGTCCCATCTACAAATGAGACCATCCTGGCCACCAACCAGAGCCTCCCCAGCCATCCCCAACGACGGTCCCTGCCGCACAACCTCATGAGGGATCGATTCCCATTCCCTCACCTGCTGGTGGTACTGCCGAAGCAAAGCTGGGAGCCCAAACTGTTTGCCTTCAAAGACAACCCAGTTACGGGATTTCCAGATTCTCCAGAGCACTGCCACTATCGCCATAACCTGGGAGGGGCCCTGCACAATGCTCAACAACGTCTTAAGGAACATAGGAAAAGCATATCGAGGCAAACCCTGCCCCACATGTTCTAACCCTGCTAGATCCCACAAGGCACGCGCCACAGGGCAGTCGAGAAAGAGGTGCTCCATGGTTTCCGACTCCCCCCAACACACCGGACAACGAGGATGAACATCAACCTTCCGCCCAATAAGAGCCTCCGTCGTGGGCAGGAATCTGTGCAACACTTGCCATAAAAACACCTTCAGTTTAGGCGGAATAGCCAAGTTCCACACCCTCATCCAGCTCCTCCGATCCATCCAACTAACCATAGGCCGCCAATCCCCAGCTTGCTGATCAAGACGCACAGCCAGGTGATAGGCCGACTTCACTGAGAACAACCCATCACCCGTCTCATGCCAGACAATCCTATCACCAACCCCCCGCCGAGGCAAAGGAATCCTCCGGATAGCACGACAGATCGCAGGAGGAAACCAATCCCTAAGCTTGTCCAGTAACCAGCATCCCTCAGTCAGGCAAATGAAATCAGCCACCTTCAGCCCCTCACCCTCCGCCAAGACTCGAGGATTAAAACTCGGAGGCTCAGGGTGCAACGAAGGAACCCAATTATCGGAGAAAGCCGCCACCCCTCGCCCATCACCAATCTGCCATCTAATTCCCTGCGACAACAACTCCCTTCCATATAGAATACTCTGCCAACCCCAGGAAGGACGAGAGCGGGGAGTCGCTGAGAGGAAATCCCCCCGGGGAAAATACTTCCCTTTATACACTTGAGCAAGAAGGGACTGGGGATCCGTCAAGATTTGCCAACCAATCTTAGCCAGAAGAGCTTGATTGAAGAACTCAAACCTGCGAAACCCCATTCCCCCCTCATGCTTACTCTGACACATCCTACGCCAAGACATCCAACGTATCCGGGAGTGCCCATCCTCCACCCCCCACCAAAAACGCGCAACCAGTCTATCCAACGTACGACAAAGGGTAACCGGCAATTTAAAACAGGACATCACATGCAACGGCAATGCAGAAGCTACCGACTTAATCAGAGTTTCCCTTGCCGCTGCTGACAACGCCCGTTGGGCCCAACCCTGGAGTCTGGCAATCAGTCTTTCCTCCACAAAGCGAAATGTGGCCATCTTGGACCTGGAAATAAGGGATGGTAGGCCCAGATACTTATCATGGACCCCCACCGCCCCCACTCCCAGTACTTGCGCCAGAAACTCCTGGTCCGGCTCACTAATGTTCTTACTGAAACAGACTGCCGACTTCCCCAAATTAACTCTCTGCCCACTTAGCTCCTCATATTCATTCAATACCACAATCAGATTCTCACATTGCTCAAGCGAACCTCGCAGGAATAAATACGAGTCATCCGCAAAGAACAAATGGGAAATCCGAGGAGCTCGAGGGGCGACTTTCACCCCCTCCAGCTTCCCTTCCGAAATGGCCTTGCGAATGAGAGCCGCAAATCCCTCAGTGCAAAGAACAAACAAGAGAGGGGACAGAGGGTCCCCTTGCCTTAACCCCCGGGAAGAGCGAAAGAACCCCGCCGGAGACCCATTCATTAGAATTGAGAACGAAGCTGAGCTAAGACACTCCCTAATCCAGCCAATCCAGGTTCGGCTGAATCCTAGCTTGGCCAGAATCGCAAGAAGAAAGGACCATTCGACTCTATCATAGGCCTTTTCCATGTCAACCTTCAGAGCCATGTATCCCCTCTTCCCCCGATTTTTAATTTTTAAGTAGTGCATTAGCTCATGCCCCAACAACACATTCTCCACAATCTGACGCTCCCGGATAAAAGCATTCTGCCCCTCCGAAACAATCCGGGGGAGGAACGGGGCCAGCCTTTCAGTCATGATTTTAGTAATCACCTTGTACACAAACTGGCACAGACTGATCGGCCTCAATTGTCGAATGGTCTCCACTTGATCAACCTTAGGGATCAGCGTTAGCCACGTGTGATTGAAACTGCGGAGAATTTTCCCCGACTGGAAAAAAGAGCAAACCGCCTCAACCACCGAAGCGCCCACAATATCCCAGAAAGACTTGAAGAATTTCCCAGTGAATCCATCCGATCCCGGGGCCTGTTTAGATCCCATCGCAAAGACCGTTCGCCGAACCTCATCCGGGAGGACCGGCGCAATGAGCTGAGCATTCATATCATCAGTAACTTTCGGCAGCATCGGAAGGGCATCAACCCTGGTCCACATATCAGGAACCTGATTTTCCGAAGTAAACAAGTTCTGATAAAAAACAGTGGCAATTTCTGCCTTCCCCTTCTCATCCGTAATCCAATCCCCGGCGTCATTTCGTAACCCCTCAACATAATTCCGTTTCCGCCTGGCCCGAGTAACCGTATGGAAATAGGAGGTATTCTGATCCCCTCTCCTCAACCATCGCACCCTAGACTTTTGCTGCCAATACTGTTCCTCTGCTTCCCACTGACGACTCAACTCACTCTCCAGACATCTAACCTCGTCCCAATTCACCGGGACTTCCAGCTTGACGCGATCAATCTCCGACTGGAGAGTTCGAATATTTCGAAGTGAGTTAGTCGTACCAGCACGGCTCCAATCATACAAGAGATGTCGGAGCCGCTTCAACCGAGTCCAAAGCTTAAACATGGGAGACCCCTCAACCTCCTCAACCCTCCACACATACTCAACCATGGCTCTCACCTCCGGGTTCTCCGCCCATCGAGCATCAAACCGGAACAGAGGGCGACAGAGACGCGGGTAAGCTTTATCAGACAACAACAGCGCCCTATGGTCTGACCCCTGATCCGTAAAGTGTTTGACGATAGTCTCGGGGAAAAGGTCAACCCAATTCTGAGAGCAAAGAGCACGATCAAGCCTTGCACGAATGCAAGCCGGGCCCATTCTCTTATTCGTCCAAGTGAATTGATCCCCCTGGAAGCCCGGGTCGTGAAGTCCCAAATCCTGGATAAAAGCTTGGAGAGCCAAGGATTGCCCAACATTCCACGGATTACCCCCATCCTTCTCCCCTGCATGGAGAGTAGAGTTGAAATCCCCAATCACCACAAACGGCAACTGAATTTCATCACAAATCTGCCGCAGGTGAGCAAGCTGAGTGGCACGAATCGATTCCACACAACTAATATAAACACCAACCACCACATAGGAGAAAGAACTTTCATTAATACGAACACAAATTACAAAATCCGAATGAAAAAACACCGAAGCATCAACTCCGGTGGACCAAGCAACAACTAGACCACCAGATGCATCGACTGCATCCACAAAGTGACAATCTGAAACCTGAAAACCTAACCCCCTCAAACGACGGGAAACGACACGCCTACGAGATCTAGTTTCCGAAAAGAAAACAAGATCCGGTTTATTAGACCGAACCAGACCCACAGCAGTCTGGAATGTGAGGGAGGGTCCAATTCCCCTCACATTCCAAGCCAAAATCTTCATTTAACCCCCTGGGGCCACTCCCGGCTGGCTTC